GATTTTAATTAACTCTTTCATATTATTAATTTTTTTTTCTAATCTAACTGTCTTTATATGGGAAGCAGACTTCTTACGTCTTTGATCAATCATAATCCTTCCAAATCGCTCCCATGCTTCATTTGAACTGAAGTCCTTTTTTGAAAAAGATTCTGACTGATTTTCGACCATAAAATAAAATTTTTTTGTTGGGGGAATGTCGACAACAGGTGATTTTCTAAACATTAGTAATACAATTAATAGTACAATTATTTTATAAAATGTTAAGCTATTTTGAAGTATAGAGAGTCTCTTTAGAAAAATTCTAATATACCTTTTTATACTGTTTCTGGGACTTAAATGACCTATGATGTCTATGTCGCCAAGTACTTGAGTAGGTACGCTGTTGATTGAGGAAGATAACTGACTGTTTTGATTAAAAGGGACAGCAGTTGATGTTAAACGTCTCAAAGTTGTATATCCATCAGTCTGATGAAATGAATCATCATGGAAGTGGTCACTACATATATTGGCTGTCTTACAAACTTTTGTTACACTAATGGCTTCCATCCATTTTTTTCTCAACTCAACATTATCAGGAAATCTGTAATTGAAAATTAAATGTTAAATAATATTTGGCATTTTTGCATGAATTTTAGATTAAGTGATATTTTGGTAATAACATAGCTGTGTACTTTGAATAAATAAATTAATAATAACAAACGACTCTAATGTCAAAAAATAATACAAAGCTAGAAAGGTCACACACACACAACATAATTAAATTAATTTCATATTTTACGATTTTGATAAACTTACTTGTGAAAACTTCGAGATTGCTCAAACGGAATGGGTTGTTTTTTACAAACAATACACGTTCTTGTCATTTTTATTTTTTACAGCACTTTTCTCTTGGAAATAATCTTTGTTGTTATAACACTATGTCAGTAAAGAGGTTATGGCTGCGGTCCACTTGCTTCTTCCAAATGCTCTTAAAGGCCCGTCTACAATACACGGAGTAAGAAGTAAGAGTAAGAAATTGACCAATCACAGTCGAATGTGAGAAGAATAATCGACTGTGTATTGGTCAATTTCTTACTCTTACTTCTTACTCCGTGTATTGTAGACGACACCTTACGCCGAAGTTATAACATCGATGTTATGAAAACTGACCAATCACAGTCATTCCATTCTTCAGAGGAACAGCTATGATTGGTCAGTTTCATACATCGATGTTATAACTTCGGCGTAAAGCGTGCCGTGTAAACGTAGTAAATGTCAGAGCAGTCAAAGTCGTTAGATCGCTGAGATCAGCAGGACTGTATAAGGATCAAAGTACAAACCATACCAAAGTGATGAAAATAATAATGTGATGATGATGTACATACAATTAGTTACTACAGGATATCAAAATCAAACACAGGTCTGTCTTTAAGAGTACTGTACAAATATATCAAGATACAGAATATTTCGCGCCAATTGAATTTATCAGAATGCTGAACGCGAGACATGTAATGATCGTGTCAATCACGTGTCGTTCCTTAGCAATAATGTATTTGACAATATTTTATTTCAAATGAGTAAAATATACGCCTTACAAGTTTATCTCTATATCGAATAATCTCGTTGATATTTCGAATCAATTGTTATGCCAATTGGTTCAAAGATAAATTCTATACCATGCAAAGGTTATAATTTAATTTTAATTGTTAGATAATTTTGATTTTTTATTGCAACACATGTTCTACATTATTTTCTTAACACATTTGTATTTGTTTTATCAAATTGAAATATTTTGCACTAAATTGCATGGCAAAAATATAAAACATTTGCTTGATAGCCACTTAGATTAAATTTATTACTTAAGCTTGCAATATCATTGTAGATAGTATCAAACAATGATAATTATAAAAAGATGCCGCCGATTCACTGGAGTTTTGAGATTGTTACCTTGGAACACATATTCCAACCTCAAGCTATTAAACTGCACAGCTATGAATTTTAGGCCATGTACAAAGGTTCATACTTCCTCTGCAATACAATACAATAAATATAAGAATGAAATGAATCCTAATATACAGAGAAATACTTCCTATTCTTTGTTGAGGGTAGAAAATATATCGGCTCATGTAAAGTTAACAAGTTTACAACAAAATAGATGTTTAAGCATTGCTGCAAAGCTAGTCAATAATGCCTCGCCTAAAGTGCAACCATATATGAAGCTCATGAGGATAGATAAACCAACAGGTAAAACTTGATTATTTAATTATTTATTATAATTAATAAATAATTATTGCATATGTTTCAATTCTTTGCTAAATTTTCTGTTAGGAAGTTGGCTGCTATTTTGGCCTTGTGGATGGAGTATTGCATTGGCGGCTCCTGCCAGTGCCTTACCAGATCTCTATATGTTAGCACTTTTTGGTATGGGTGCATTTGTAATGCGTGGTGCAGGTTGCACCATAAATGATATGTGGGATCAGGACATTGACAAAATGGTACAATCCTCTGTAACATTTTAATTTTGTGGTTTGAATATCATTGTTTATACAGCTTATTATCCTAGGTAGTGAGAACGAAGGATAGACCTTTGGTAACAGGTCAAATAACGCCAAAACAATCGTTAATATTTCTAGCTGGACAGTTGAGTCTGGGATTGCTTATATTATTACAATTAAATTGGTATAGCATATTTCTTGGTGCCAGTTCACTAGGTACTGTACGTTTATTTAAGGTCTATAATTTTATATTTAAAATGAATTAAAAATATTTGATGTAATATATCTTGATCTTTCCTTTTAGGTCTAGTAACAGTGTATCCCCTCATGAAACGAATAACGTACTGGCCACAATTAATTTTGGGAATGACTTTTAATTGGGGCGCTTTATTAGGATGGTCAGCTATACATGGATCATGTAATTGGTCGATCTGTTTGCCACTTTATGTAGCTGGTATTTGCTGGACTATTCTGTATGACACGATATATGCTCATCAAGTAAATATAAAAAATAAATGAAAAGTACAGTAGAAATGTAATCTTAAATCGCTCATCAATTTCTTTTTGTATATTAGGATAGGATGGATGATATTCGAATAGGTATGAAGTCGACCGCCATAAAATTTGGAGAAAATACAAAATTTTATTTGTCTGGTTTTGGAATAGTAATGATTGCTAGTTTAATTACCTCCGGTGTATTAACTACTCAAACTTGGCCTTATTATACTGCTGTTGGATTAATTGCAGCGCATATTAACAACCAGGTTACAAAATTGTGAATTATAAATTTAAAATAATTGCATCCGAATAAAGTAATTTCTTTCTTTCAGATATATACTCTGAACATTAACAATCCTACGGATTGTATAAAAAAATTCATGTCTAATCAAAACGTAGGCATGATATTATTTATTGGGATTGTGTTAGGAAACTTAATGAAAAAATCATTACTGCAAAAAGAGAATGAAGTCAAAGAAACAAGGCATCAAGATATTGTACTGGATGAAATAAAAAATAGGCATGATTTATAATTCAGTGAGAATTTTAAAATAACACTTTTTAATTATGTAAAATAAAATTGGATGAAACAAGATAGATGTTATAAAAATATAAATTCTACTTAATTCACATGTTAAAATTTTCAAACGCTATAATTTTAAATAAATATTTTTATATTTAATTGGAATATTATAAATTAAGCATATTTTTTATACTTTTAATCGCACCATCAATATGGTTTAATCATTCTTATAGTTATAAAATAGGAAAAATTTCTCAGAGCTGAAGAAAATTAGTATTACAAAGTAAAGCAAATTGTGATTTTTAGTTATGATAGTAAAATTTTTCATTATATAATAAAATCTATTATTGTGCTTGTGATAATACTCGTAAATTAATTTAAAGTAAAATGAAATAAAGAGAGACATTGAAACAAGAAAATCACATGTCTAGAATCTCAATTATTAATAATTCTTACAATGGCCATCTCGTTTCTTATTAATCTCTGTTATGAAATTCTTAACCAAGTTATTTTCTTAATATAATAGCTGTAAATTAAAATTTTCTTTATTTCATACGTTATTGCTGCTTATTTTTCTTTTTCTTAATATGTTCAATATATTTGTTATGAGTTAACGTTGACACAGATTGTTTGAAATTTTCCAAAAATTTTATATTTGGCAATATTATAGCCAAATATCCACCTTTATGTGGGAGTTTCTTAAGAAGTTGTGGGTTTTCTGACAATGCCTCGTTAACTTCGACTAACTTCCCAACTATATAACATTTGATAACATACGTTTGTCCGTCCTTGCATAATATAGTACAGATATTTGAATTTGTCTGCAATGGTTGCGCACCATGCTTACTCTTACCTGAGACTTTGTTCAGAGATCTATCCAATTTATCGCTAACCTTAAAATCGACTTTCTGTATATCTTTGTTGTCTTGCAAAATGACGTGACTAGGTGCCAAGGACAGCATACAAATACGATTGCTATGAATCCATATACACATATCATTTCCTAGTGATTGTGCATCCATTTTGTAATAGGGAGTAAAATAACGATCAGTAACAGTAGGAAAACGACCGCTATATTGGACTTCGTCCAGCATGTCCGAGACATCCTCGTCAGGAGGAAATGTAAATGATTCGTCATCGCTATCAACAATCGCTGATGTCTCCTTGTCACTATCAACAATTGCTGATACCTCCTTATTACTATCTAATAATTCATCATGCTCCTCCTGTTCTTGAAGAGAAATTTCTCTTGCATCAGCAATATCTTTAACTGCATTTTCTTGCATATTGTCTTCTTCCTTTGCGCACGATCTCTTTCCATAATCGTTTTCAGATTTCAATCGTTTGGTTTTTGGCTCGTCAATTTCTGATTCCAAATTCATGTTCGATTGTTGAAAGTATTTACTAGCATATACAAGAGTATATACAATTCTAACTGATTTAATCTAGAGTTGTCACAAGTGACACATACAGATTTCAACAGAATAATCAAATTATTAGTTGAATTTCTGTGCACGGCTAATCGTTGCTAGTTTCCGATTGTGTCGGTTCCGTCGTCTTTAACCTGTTTCGTCGGAAACGTGCGCTTTCTGCCCTATGAATTTCTCTCTGAAACAAATGATGGAATTAATCATATTAATTTCGGAATGAAAGTCGGGGACGACTTACTTGTTCCTTAATGCATTTGATCATCGCTTGGTGGATATGTTCGCAGTAACCCACAAATCTTCGATACGGATGCTGCAAGTATATACAGAATTGTTGAGACGGCACTATGGACGGCACATGGTAAAATTTACGTTTACGAGTGATATTACCTCAGCCTCACAGTCCTGAAATTGGCGATATATCTCGTTACAAGCGGCATTGTGTGCTGCCAGCGATTTGTAATTCATATCTTTGTTTTGGTAAAGCCATTTGCAAAATTCCTCATATCTTTCATTACGCAATCGAATAACCGAGCGACAAATTCGTCGCGCTGATTGGATTATACTTTTAGATTGAAAGGAATAGTCCTATCTCAGCGAAGAATCACAAAACGGTTGCAAAACTGTTGAGTCTGCTGAACGTAGCCAATGACCTCCCCATTTGCACTATTCGTACTTTGAGTATTGAGTACTTTCGTAGTGTATCTCGTGATTGATGTAAGAGGGCCTCCACATGCACAAACGTTGCCGTAAAGTCACTAGATTTATGAAGTACCAACAGCTTGGCTGCGTTCATATGTCAACCGCGTACCAGAACTACCTGACTCGTAACATCAGACCTCGATTCGAATTCCAACGGAGCGAGCTGATTTTTTCGTGCTATCGATTACGTTTTAGGTACTCGAATCATATTATTTCCAAATATGCAATATAAATGTTGAATGAGTATTATATTTTGCATCCGTATATATATTTTCACGCACACACATCTCAAATTTACACAGCACGTCAGCACGTTTTTACCACTTAAAAATATTCTTCATACGTTATTACAACTCGCATATACTCGTATAGTCGTATGCAATCGATTTTCCCATTCGTTTTTTACGGAAAAGTTTCTGTTAATTGTCATTTAAAATCGAAGTCGTACTCATTGAGTGGAATGCGCATTTTCGCCACTCAAATTAGAACCGTTTACACGAGTTAAAAACGGACTGGCAACGATGAAACATTTTTAAGAGTTTAGTTTTTATTGCAATATTTATTTTCAGTGTTACTCAAATTACCTCTTATCCAAATTATCCCTGAAAATTGATTTTCAGTAAAATTGTAGAAGTAAATCGGATAATGATATTGCACTTCAAGATTTAAAGAATAATTTTTCATGTTGAGTAAATATTCCTTAAATATGTGACTTACCTGCTTTTTATTCAATTTACAGATGAAATTATTCAAATTACCCCACTGTACCTTATTGGTTGGATTTGAACTTGAAATCTAAAATTCCAAGCGAGTGAGGTCAAAATTTACATTTTATATTTTTATTATTTTATATTTAGTTTATTGCTATATGTTTATATTTAATTTGTTTTATTTTTTAAATTATTAAGTTTTGCAATTATGTGATTTCCAATTCCCTTATCAGCATAAGTTCATAGACTCACATTACGCACATTTGGTTTTACAAGCAATGATACGATACACATTTAAAGAAATGGAAGCAAAATGTAATTTAATTAAAGTTTAATATTATATAAATAGAATTAAAAATGAAAAATAAGAACAAGACTCATATGTACGTATTTAATGGAATTATTTAAAGTACAGCATAAGCTTATTTTTTATTTATATTAATAAAAAATAAAATAATTCATTACTTTAAAATTATTTAATAAAGTAATCGATATAATTTTGGTGAATTTGAAGCTGCAATATGGTAAACATGTCTAAAAGGAATCGTGTTTACATATTTACATTCAATGCAAAACTGCGACGTTTATGAATGATATACATTTCTGTAGGAATAACATACTGTTTACAGAATACAGAAATGAATTCATAATTATACAGATTTCAATGCTTTTTCCATGCTTTAACGTCACTCGGCTGACGTGCATGATGATCTTTGCATGAGCAATTGTTTATTTATCTGCCATGATTTAGTATGACCATGTTTACGTGTATGTGATCGTCCCGAAAGTTCTTCGAATTTTATTTTGTTATGTCAACAGTCGTTATAGTAAATCATAGTCCTACCGAGAATGTTATTTTAAAAAATTAAAAGTGTTTTTTTATAAATTCAGTTCATAGATAATTTTATATAACTGCAATTACTTATTGTTCTATTTTATTTAATTAAGAAGCAATATCTTCAGTATTAATTTTGATAAAAAAATGCAAAGTTTATTATTTTATCTATGGCAAACATACTTACTATTGTTATATTAAATATTAAAATAATTAATATTACTACTATGTTTTAAAAATGAAAGATTTTTTATTGCAAAATTTAATTTCTTAATTTGTTAAATATATGTCGATAACCAGGTGAATGTTAAAGAATGAATGGAGTCTTATGAATGATATACATTTCTGATGTTTATATTTAAATAACGATTTGGTGATAATGGTTAGTTTTTATGAAGATGATTTTTCTGGAGAAACTAATTTGAAAATTAGTCAGAGAATTTCTTTTTGAGAAGGCATTTATCTACGAGCGTCTTGTATAACGTGTTGCTACGATCAGCGTTAATATTCTGAAGCTATCATCGAAAGCATTTTTTCCGACGCGTTTTACGAGCAATCCTCGATATGTGGTACCGTTGTAAAGCGGGAACTAGAAGCTAACTTGTATCTGCTCTGCCTTGCTGTTTTACGATTATGATCGTCTTCTACGTTGCCACATGGCTCGCCAGTAGTTCCGGTCGAGGAATTACTCTCTGTAGTTCGGCACCCTACCTCTTTCTTTCTTCCGCCATCCTACTTCCTCTTGAGAGAGATATTTCAACCCTTTTCAAGACGCTGAAAATAGCGGCTATCTCCATTTACATCCTTGTACAAACTTACAATAGATACATTATTCTAGACTTTCCTTTAATATCGCGTTGGAATTGTCGATCGTACCAAGAAGACAATATTTTTGCGTGTTTGTTAGTTCTTAATATTTTTAAATGATAATTGCAGTTTTAATGTTTTACATCTATTTATTAATTTGTCTATTTATTAATTTTTCCTCATTCTGTAGAGTTCGTCTTGAAGTTCCTCAAAAATTTATTATAATATGAATACTTTGAATTTTAGTATTTTAAATACTCTGAAAATTCATAAGGAATTACAAGTATGAACATATGCACGAGATGACGCGAATATCCAAACGATTCATGTGTAGTCACGTCAGCTACGTGTATTATTATTATTGTCAAATAAACAGTGCATTAAGTATGCAATATTATTTCTTCACATTAACGACATGATAAGGAAACTAAATTCACATTTTATTGAATGTTATAAGTATACGGTTGAACTGTATTCATTTATTATATAAATTTCTACAAATTGCTATTACATAACTTGAAAATAATCGCATGCTGCAGGATTTTTTATTTTCATTGTTATTATATTCACGTTGCTAAAAGGTCAAATGTTGTTAATTCCATAAAATTTATTTCGCGAATAGTTTTTTCCATAATAATTAAATAAATAATGAACGACGGTCATTTTAATTTGAATAATTTGATTGTTATTGTATTGACAATCAGAATTGTTTTCTAATTAATATCACACATGGAACAATTATTAAAATAACATAAAAAATATCAATTCAATAATTTTTTAAAACATTCATTAAACTGATTTAATTATTTGCAATAAACATTACATAAATATAAATTTATAGTAATTTATAGCAATATAACTGTGATGTATCACAATAATATTTCTGTGATATTTCTGCTATATTGCAATGAAAAAAAATAATATTGCTGTAATATATATATTACTGCTATAGATCTTTTTTTAGTCTTATCTATTTAGTGTTCTCATTATTCTGTTCCATTAAATCCAATGAATAGAAAAAGTTCTTTTTTCATTCAATTGGATTCAATTGAATTCAACTGGATTTGACTGGATTGAAAATCTGCAGTTCTTATTCAGAATTTTGAATTGAGCAGTATACACGATGCATAGAAAAGTTAACATTATTTTTATATTGAAAGGTATGAAATGTGCTTGATATATGCAATTCTTATAAATGAATAAAAATTCATTCGGATTGTGAAAAGGCTTTATTTTAACGTTGCGAACGTGTATTTCTGAAAATATGAATTTTCTTCAAACCATTTCAATCCATCTAAGTAGCGCAATAGCGCCTGCAAGACTAAAAAGCGCTTATATGCGCTTTTTTTGCGCTTTCTTAATGCTTTGTAGGCGCTATGTGTTACTTATGCATTCTCGTTTACTTACTGGAATGTACATTTTTTACTTTTTAATCCAATTGAGTTTTTACATTTTATTTATTTTATAATCTTTACTGTAATAATGATAAATAGAAAGAGAAAAATTTTTTAATTACATGATGGACTTTTTAATGAGAAACGTACTCTCCAAAAGAGTGAATCAGTGTATTATTACCGAAAAACAACAAATATTCGCTAATGATTTTATCAGTTATAAGTGTAGCACTGAAGTCAGTAATAAAGTAATAAATAATACGTTGATTTCACTTTTAGAGAGTAGAGCATTTTTAGGTAATTATAATTTCACAAAATGCAAGAAAAAGAATAATTGTTGGTTTCGCAATACAAATATATATATGTACTTTATTTCTCTATATCTTACATATAATAGTGCTGTGGTTGTCGTTTCGTCAGATCTGCACAATCGCGCAAGTCTACTTTATTCTTCAATTTTTAATGATATTTTATCTTTTATCGGATAAATCTATAATTTTCGTAATACGTTGCGTAATTGACGTCCGAGTCTCGGCGATGGTATCCAAGGAAAACGTCGTCCTAAACGAGACGCTAATATCGGCGGTAACAGACGGTCGTCCTCGTCGACTTCGTACGAATCTCCGTAAGAAGGTAGATCCTCGCTCGATCCTCGTCCTAAACGCGGTGTAAATTGAGACGGTTGTCTCTTGTCGTTAGCTGAAATTGATTCTTGACAGTTATATTTTTTTAATGATGAGGAAAATTATATGGATTATGTTAAATCTCGAAATTTGCGAATCGATAAATCAATAAGTTTAGATGATGTCATTCAAGGCATCAGAACATTTCAGATTAAATGAAATATCTCTTCTCTAGATAAATTTCTATAGTTAAAACGGAACTTTATAGGAAGAATTTAAAGATAATAAAAAGGAAACACTGAAATTTTGCTTGAGTAAAATTAATAAAAAAATATTTATTAGATTAACAACAATTATATTCTATTAGTGACAGCTTTAACTGTTAAACGCAAGAGCATTTTTATTTTTCACAATTGTTCGTAACTCGAAAATTGTGTATCTCTATATAATTTTATTAAACTTAACGTTATAGCAAAAGTTGACA